ATCTGAGATGAACATGTAAAACAGAACCTGGAGTCAATGGAGAGGGGCATCCTAAGAGAAAGCAGCCAGACTGTCCAACAGTGATCTGAGACTATAGACACAAAGCTATGAAAAAGGAAGCCAGACAGGAATTAGAAGTAGAGACCTGGAGAAATTCAAGTAATTCCTGAGCTTACTAACAAGTAATTGAGGAAGTCTTTATGTGATACCAGAACCCTCACAGGTAGAGACAGAGCCATTGGAGGCCCTTAGCATGGTATGGACATGTACCAAGGGTCTCTACAGAATCCCAAGGCCAAATGAATGACGTGAACATCAGCTATTATTTCTATATCATCCATGTTCTTCTCCACTCCAGTTGAGAGTGGGCAATAGAGGTAAATGAAAGTTGGCTGAGTTCATATCATTATTATCTCCATTGTTCTGCTTTCTGTGATTTTTACCCATCATGAAAAAGGCTCAGCTGAGAAAATTCAGAACAGTGAAGAAGAAATCGCAGAGTACCCACTTTTTTAAAACATTTAGTTCTCTTTATCACTTAACTTTTTAAGTTCACTTTGTAACTATCATTAAAAGTCTGAGTTCAATTATCAGGGCATGGTTATAGGCATGCCACTTCCTCCAAGCTCCCAAGCAGAGGAGTCTGTGGGCATGCTGTGAGGCTAGGAATAGGAGGTTCCTTTCTGAGCACACAAAGGCAGCCAGAAGAAGGCATCCATGTCCAGGAACAGTGCCACTGGCTAGCTACACTTAAAAAACGCTCGTGCACACGGTAGAACCATGGCCATGAGGGGAGGCAAGAGAAAAGAAGGGCATCTGAAACCATGTGAGTTTGAGAGCAGGCCACAGCCAGCCAACAAAGAGAATATATTTCCATGCTACCACACATTGTAGATTCTGAAGCTGTTACAGCCTTGAAGAAGGTACTTATTACAGCATCTTGAAAGAGCCTAGGGAATATACAGCTAGAGTCCAAAAAGGAAATGGACTCAAGGGAATCCAAGCTGTGATCTCCATTCTGAGCAATTAAGACTTTAAACAGGAAATTAAAATCATTGAATTTGGAAGCCAGAAGGGATCTTAAAGGTCAAGCAGGAATCCCTCCATCAATTTACATGTTCATTAAACATTGATTAAATAAATGATCACCCATCAATTCCTCAGAAACATCTTGGATCTCCTTTCAGGTTGTTCAGGTTGTTCCTTTCCAATGCTTTCATATGTCAACTTATAATGATATTTCATTAACTTAATTATGCATGTTTTCTCACTAATTTGTAAGCTCTAAGAGAATAAGGACAAAAATCAGATTTTGCTTTCCATTGAACTTGAAAATTACATAAATGTCCTTGTGTGAATAAATGGATGAATCTCCCAGATTTTGGGAGTTCCCAAAAATTGGTTATTTCAATACAGACTCTGGGCTACAGTAGGGCCCTAAATCTTGCCATATTCCTATTCTTTAATGGTCTTAGAGACCTCAAGAGTCACCCAGAGCTGGAGTCTAAGGGTTTTCAGAGGCCTCTGATTCTACCCATTCTGTTTGGCATACTCAAGAGCTCATTCTTGGGCACATAGGACAACTGAAGTTCAGATGATCCTCTGCCAGTCTGAGACAGTTTCCATGTAGGGACACTGAACAGCAAGTAGAACCTTCCTGGAGAGTCTGGCTAGCTATGAGGAACAATGATGATCATCTCAGTAACTTCTAACTGGACCTATGATGAGCCCTTTTGGTATTTTTTATTTGGCTTGGCTGAATTCAGGAGCTGTGTTATTAAAATGCAGAAGTCTGTAATTACAGGGACACACGTTCTCGTCTTTCAAGCATGAACTAAGCATGTACAGCGTTTCTGGTGTTGTGCCACATGCCGAGTTACAAAAACGACCAAAGCTCAATTCTTGTCCTCAAGGTTCTCTTTCTACTGGGAGAACAGACATGAGAATAGAGTCTTATTAACAAAGCAAGGAGCAAACAGTTGTGAGAGCATGGAGAATGACGTGATAGCCCAGGACTTGGGAAGGATTCTCAGAGGTGGCACAAGCTTATCACAGAAAACAAGGTATTCTGAGGGGTTCCTAAGGATGTGCTACCAAGGAAGATGAGCATCCTCAGGAGTTCATGCACACATACGTGTGCACACACAACCATGCATATACATATGCACACACATGTACACACACTCTCATGCACATACCCATACACACACACATGCATACACACCCATGCACACACATGTACATGCATACACACATGCACATACACACGCATACACACCTATGAACACAAGCACACACATACACACATGCACATACATACACATACATACACATGCACACACATACCCACGCACACACACACATGCATGCACACACACAGCTACGATGTTTTCAGTTAAATTGCTGAAAATAAATAAACTGAAATTTAATGGGAAAATACTGAACCTAAGGTTAGACCTGATCAGTTTCTCTATGTGGGGAGGTAAGAGTGTGTTAGAGGGTGTCACTAACTCCCTGTCCCAGAAACCTTAGAGATTTTCAAACTACAGCTGTGGCACACACCATGGGGAAGATCAGCTAAAATGTTAGTGATCTGGGTTAAGAAGATAAAAAATTAGGCAAAGCAAAGAGAAAGAGGAAAGGGAAAGAAAAACATTCTTTCCTTCAATAATGATCACTCCCTTTAACATTTTGTCTTTTTTAAAAAACCATCCCAAACCTCTGGGATTTCTTAGACCTTGATGCTGCTCCCTATCCTGCTGAACAGAACCATGAGGAAACCAGGAAAGACTATTAAGAAAGAAGGTCCCCTTTAGGGAGGCAGACAGTGCCATTGAGACTGGCTGTGAACTTCCTCTTTGGTGTATTCTTTGATTTCACATGGTATGAAATATTGACATTTCTTCTTAGATATGCGGACATGCAGACACCTTGTAACCTACATTAGATCTATAAACCTTTATCTGGCCTACATTGAGTTGTTTCCATTTGTGGAATTGTTTTTAGTCAGAGCAAAACTTTCCCCTGTGAAGTGAAAAAAAAAAAAAAAAGAAGAAGAATCTGTAAACTGAGCCATTATTATTCTGCTTTCTGTTTCTATGGAGTTGTGACTCTTCTGAGAGTTCTATAAAGAAACAGCAACCATATTCTTATCAGCCTTCTATATTTTCTTCTGTGTATTAGTCAACTCTGCTGTGGGAACAGTGCCCAATTCTAAATGGTTTACAACAATAAACATTTACTTTTTACTCCTACTTGTACCATAAGTTGGTGGCTACAAGTTGGTTGTTGAGCTCTGTTCCCTGTGTTTGCCCATTTCAGAGCCCATGCTGAAAGACAAGTCACCATTTGGGACACACTGTTCTTTATGGCAAAATAAAAAGAACAAGAGAGCTACTAGCTGAAGCTCAAGATGTGTCTTAAGGCTTCTGATCTAATATGGCAAACATCATGTCCACTCACACTCACTGGCCAAGACCTTTCCATGGCCAAACCCCAAAAATCAGCTGTACTCCCTTCCACAGAAGGCACAGGACCCACAGCAATGGGCAGGAATTGATCATTTTCTGACATGGCAAGAGGGGTCAATCAAATACTTCAGAATAATAATTACAACCTACCACACCCTCTGATGCCACCAGATATTTTGTTTCCATCATGGGGAATTTGTCCTGATGTTGACCAAAAAGTAATTTGATGTGATTTTATTTCTTTGTAGAATTGTTGCAGAACTCTGGGGCAACGGTTGCCAAATTGTTCTTCGGAATGTCACCGTCCCTCAAGATGATAATTGTCATTGCAATATTAAAAACAATTGCATGGTCAGATAATTTTAGTAAGGGTGCTTATTAATAGTGTCCTTTAATAGTCACAGTTCTTATTGCCATATTAAATGGTCTAAGAACACCTACTGTTTAAGATAGCTATTTAATGTAGGATTGGGGTTGCAGAGTTCTTTTTGTAATGACACAACCAATAGTGTCTCAAGAGATTCTACTGATAAATGCTAGAATCCTAAAGGATTATTGGAGAATTGGTCAGATGAATTCTTGCTGTTTTCTCATTTCTATGCATCTAGATTGTAGGACGTCTAAGGATATTGAGAGGAGGCATGCATGAGGCCAACATGTCTGTACAGGTTCCAAAAGGAGGCTTGCATTTTTTTGCTAAGGATCAACTCCATGTCAGGAATCTGAAAATGCTATTCAGATATTACTCTTTGCCTACTTAATTAATTATAAATACCTCAGACTGGCTTTTATTCCCCCATTCTTTGTGTAACAGCTGTCTTATGTCCGACCCTGTGCCAAATGCTGAGCACACAATGTGAGTAAACATTGTGTGAGCAGACACAATCTTTCCTCGTGGACTTCCTTTTCAATAGGAAGAAACAGACACGAGACAAACACAAGGAATGGCCAGCAATCATGCAGCCTCTGAGCAGTGTGCTCTTCCATTGGCCTCCTGTTCCTTCTTGGAATGCTTTCCACACTTAACTTCTGATATGATATGCTTTGCTGACTTTTCTCTCCATCATTGGCCTCTCCTTCCCAGCTCTCATTGCTGACTCTTCTTCCTCTATGGAGCTTCAAAATACTAGAGCACCCAGAGCCCTTACCTGGATCTCTCTTCTCCATCTCTTCCTAAGGAAGCACACTCACCTTCACAGAATTAAATTTCACATATGTGCTCAGGACTTACAAATTTCTATCTCCAGTGTAAAACTCTCCTCTGAGAATAAAAGCTCCCCTCAACTGAACTACTTACCAACTGCGTATCTTGACTTACTTCACATGTGCTCTCTCTTGCCACGATTGTTTGGCTGCTTCCTTCATCCTCCTCCTAATTTATAAACCCCTCCAGGGCAGAGCTCCTTGGTCTATTTTCATCTTCACTTTCCAGAGTGCATTACATACTAAGTGTTAAATATGTGATTATTGAATTTAATGTTTGAACTGAGTTTCTGCTGTAGGGATCACTGAGACACAGATGTAGTGAAAGGGAATATTTTATTTAAAGATATAATGCCTCATCCTTCTGTATTTCCAAATGAACAAGCTCAAGTGAGAGAGCACAGCTACACACATTGGCATGAGGTGAATGCTTGAGTTTAACAATGCTAAATTGCACCAGTATCATCCCTTGTGGTCGTGGAAGCTGCTGCAGAGGTTTTATAAATTGCCTATGTTCCCGCATCCCATCTGGCGATGGTGGCACAGATGACTTGCTCTTCACAACAGCCTTCACTCAGCTCTACTCCCTTCTCCAAAATGAAAGGACAAAAAGAAGACAGCAGGGGCTTGCCTAAAAGTCTCCCACTCAACCAGGGTAGCAATTCAACCACATACTGCTGACTTCTAGATTTGGATTCAAGGCAAAGGCGTGTCAAAAGAGGGCAACAACCTGGACTGCAGAAAGATGTCTCACTGGCATTATGTGGCATCTGCAATTCTGGTCCTTCCTCTGGATTTTGATCCTGTCCTTTTCCATGTGTCTTCCAAGTCCTCCTCTACCAGTCAAAATCAGCTATTTCATACAGTCTGGCAGAGCCGAGAAAAACCAGAAGCTTCTTTGTACTCTGTCTTGCGTGAGCCATTGTCCCTGGTTGGCACAAAAGGAGGGCTCTGATTTTCATGTGAACCACAGTCCCCTGGCACAGTTCCTTCCTGTGTATACACAGATGCTGCTTTTTCTCATTTGGCTACCCTAAAAAAGTTTGTCTTAGCCTCCACATATTTGAAGATTAGAATTTAACCTCTATCAAAATAAGAGGAAAATTGTCTGGATTGCATCTTTTCTACAAAAATAAATGTTTTTCAGCTATCATAGCATTTAAAACTTTATTTTGTTTTGCTGCTCTAGTCTCTTTCTTGTCACACTTGCATGGATAGATACATAGTTTGTGCTACAGTATTAACAAGGAGTTCTCTGGGCCAGCGTTAGCACAAGGAATTTCTGCTGGACCTTTGGTGTGTTGTCCTGTACAGTTCCCAGTCCTGCTGTAGGTCAACAAAACATGGCAGATTTGTGAATAAAGGCAACAGTTTTACTAACGTGCTGCAGCTGTGACGCAACTCAACATCTGGGTCACCAGTCTGGGGCTTGAGTTGGTACTTCCTAAATCAGGCATTTTGTCACAGAGAGACCACTGTTAGTTGAGTCTTCCAAAATCCTCTTTCCCTGGGCTCTTCTAGTCCTCCTTGGCATGTGTCATTCCCTGGGCACCTTGTGTTAGCCTGCATCCCTGAGTTCTCCCCACCATCATCACGGCTATCAGGTTAGACTGATACCATGTACCACGCCATGTGCTGTGATTTCACTCACAATGTTATTTCACTTGATGGGCGCTCAGGTTGTTCATCATGCAAGGGCAGTCTTGCAGTACTTCCTTTTCCTTGCTTTTTTCCCAGCCCAAGCTCTCACGGTCACCACCCCATCATGCACATGCACTAACTCTCAGACTACTTTGCAATTAAAGCCCTGCCAAAAGGATAGCTTGTATTACCATTCAATAACCTTTTCACTCACTCACACTAAGCATTCATTATTCAGCTCAATGTTAAGAGCCCTTTAACTTGTCATATACATGATGTATATAACAGCACTTGCATTCTAAACTAGGTTTTAACACAGCAATACAACGGCAATTATAAAACAACCACTAGTAGCTAAAATGTCTCTAGTCATGCCAAGTATTAAAAATAAATTGCAACTGCCCCAGTTCGTACCCCATACCTGTCTCCTCTTACCATCAAAATTCACTATAGACTCCACATAACTTACCAGAACATCTGGGATGCACAGATCAAGGCAATGGGGGTAGATGCAGATGTGGAGTGAGCAAGTTTCCTGGAACATGACAAGGACATTAGGTTATAGTGACCCACATAACAAGGGTGGTCCAAGACTCCACCTGAATACTAACTGTCTCACTTAATTGGTTTAGGAACTTGCTTCCTCTAGCCCTAAGCTACCCTCAGGGCCACTTTTGGTTTTTATCTGACACATCTACCTTCCCAAAGTCTCCTTGGGGATTCCATGCTCCTCTCTCATTGTTTCTTCAGTTAGCTCTAACTCCATTTTGCAATTCTTTCCGTCTCATTCCTTTTTCCTCTCTATTTGTATTAAAATAAAGTGAAAAATAGTGGGTGTGTAAACTCAGAGCCCAAGATCTGGGGAATGCTATAGAACTGTGTGATGCAAGTGTTTACCACTGGCCAGGGGAGCCACTAGCATAGAGGGAAGATGCACCAAACCTCTATCCCAAGGAAAAAGGATGAGTCATTTCTATTTGTCTTCTCTCCTCTGGCATCAGAGACCTCACCCAGAAGGCTAGGTCACCTCACTTTCTCCCACCTGAGGTGAGTGGGGAGGGTCTCAACCCTAGGGAGACTCTTACAGCTTTCTACAATCCCTTTGATTGAAGAATCTTCCCCATGGAAGATGAAGCAGGGAGTTTCCCTAAGGTTCTGGGAGAGCCCAACTGTGTCATCCCCCTTTATCCCAGGAGACTATTAGGAGGTTGGAGGATGTAAGATCTGTATGATAAGATCTTAATTCCATAGCTATATAATTCCAGCTACCAAATTTGAGCTTGCTGTAAGTTCTAAAGTGTCTACAGTCAGTCTATGTAAGGCCACCACCAAAGAAGGGGGAAAGGCATTTATATTCTCTCTAACCCTGACGAACATCCTCCCCACCTACTCCCAACCAAGAACCTTGAGTGAATTTTTTTTCTTCATTTTAGAGCAAGTGGGGGGTGATTGTACTTATATGCAAAAAATACTACAAAGCGGGAGGAGCTTTTTTTCAGGTCCTTTAAAAACAAGTATCCCATCTGTTCCCAGTCCAGGTATTTCCAGCTTTACCTCTCTATTGGGATATTGTTGGGCAGAAGTACAAAATAACCCTGTTTCATTTTTGATTTTTAATTAATGTTCTTCTATCAACAAAGACATAGATAAGTCTACTAGCAGTCTATAACTGTGGTTTCTCCACATTCTACCTGAGGACCAGCTAGGAGAGGTAGCCCTAGGAGAAGATTACCTGAGGTAGCCCCCTGATGGAAGTTGGTGCTAGTAATCCCTGGGCAAAGCAAAGAGGATTTCTAAAAAAACAACAAGAAGTTTACATTCTACCCACAGCTCTCTCTATGGCACAAAATATTCACTGTGAAATCAGAAAATAATTCATCTCCCTCCAAAAACAGAGAACTAGACACACTTTCCCCCTTAAAGGCAGGACTCCTTGGGTACCTGTTCTGTTGTAAGCCTAGGAATTATGAGACAAAAACAAAAGAAGGAAAGGAAGAGAGGAACAAAGAGCATGAAGTTGAAATATAGCAACCACCCATGACTCTGAGTCTGGTGTGCTACAGGCTTCATTCCATCTCTCTCACACACACAGTGTTGTGTTGTCCTGTCAGGAATCACTAGTGGACTTTCTTGTCTGAATTCCACCTTTCAGAAGGGAGCTGAGCAGGACAGAATTTGGATATGAAAGGTCAGGGCAGGATTAAGAGGAAGAACAAAGAACACAGACTTAGCCCACTTCATTTAGCACAGAAGGATTCAGAAGGCCAGGATATATGTAGGGGCCTAGGAAATACTGACTAAGCCCCCACTGAGTGCCCAGCACAGTTAGGGGAGCTCAGGGGATCAGGAAGATGGTTGATGCTGACACAAGTAGATTCTCACACCCTCTTGTTTGTAAGAGTGAGCAGTCACCAGGCAGGAACACCACTGAAGATACACATTGTCATGGAGAAAGGACAAACAGCAGAAATCAGCCACCCCTGACCCCATAGATGGCGCCTTTACCTGTTCCCTGAGGACTACCCTGTAATAAGACTTTACAGCACTGCAATTCTTTTTCTAACACAAAGATTTTCAACCCTGGCTATGCACTGGAATTATCTGGGGAGGTTTTTTAAATTTCAATGTCCTGAATCCACCCCAGACTGATTAGATCAGATTCTGTCATGCCCAGGTGTCAGCAGTTCTTAAAACCCCTCAGGTGGTCCCAATCTGGGGCCAAATTGGAAGTCTTGTCCTAATTGCCTCAACAGCTTTTCCCTGCTTCCACATTCTTCCTTTCATTTTTGGTTTGTTCTACTTTGTCCTTTCAGAAGATAATTCTATAATACTCCATTGAGCCTTTTTATATTCTTTAACTTTGCTTTTTCTCATTTAATTTTCATTGCCTGCTCTACTTACTCCATCTTCCCATTATGCTTGTTTGGTTTTGTGTTTTCTTTAGTTCCCATCAACATTTACAGGACACTTGACAAGGGCAGACTACTATGATAGGCACTTAACTGTTTCTAAAAAATAAATTCAATGCAATAATATTTTCCGTTAAATTCCATGCTGTACTTATGGGCTCTGGTCTTATGGAAGATTGGCATTTGGGCAAAGTCTGTCTCTTCTGAAGCCTTAGTGTATAAATAAAAGATCCCAAATAGATATGTTGCAATAAAAAATAAAAGCAGCATCCACAAGTAAAGGCCAAAGAAGCATTAAGAAGAGGCTGAGGCTAAATATCAACATCTCTCCTGCTGAACTCTTAGCCTCACTCTAAGAGGGAGATGCTACGATTTGCAGCAGAGAGAAAAGACCCAGACTGTTCAACTTGTAAGGCTGTTCTCTGGGTACAGAACATCCGCTAATTCAGGCTAACTTCCTCACTGTCCACAGACAAGCCCAAGAGTATACAGGCCAGTCTCTGAAACACAAAGGCTGAAAAGAGGAGGAAAGAACCAGAAGCTATCCCAGAAGCAGAGCCCCTCAGTTCTCAGGGGAGGCTGTGCAGTAGACCTGCCCTGCTACCTTGCCACACAGGTAAGAGTCACCTTGGAGCCTCAGAATCACAGGCCTTTCAACTTCCTGGGTCTGGTGAGCCCCTGAGAGCTCAAAACATTGTCTTTTCTAAAATCCAGAAGGTGCTTTCTGAATGGTTAGTAGAGGAATAAGTGATTCTAAAGAAATATCCCCTGGGAGAGTTTACAAGAAGAATAGAAAGGAAGGTGGCTCTGTGATCCCACACTCGTACCTCAGTCCCTACATACTCTGATATGGTTCCTCAATCCCTTTATCTCCCTTTACCTTGATTTTCCTCCCCTGGGACTCTAGCCAGAAACCTTTTTGGAGACATTTGTTCCTTTTAGAAGTGAAATTTTGCAGTGCCAAATTTTACAACTTGTCTCTCTTGGTAGAGTTAAGACTTCAGCCAGCCAAGTTTCCCTGGAAATTGCCAGAGCCACAGTAAAAAAGGAGGGGAGTTGTTAACTGATGTACCTCCCTATCCACAGTGCTGCTGCTCTGCTCCTAAGTCACAAACTGAAGCCTACCCCCCACCCCCCACACACACCCCTCTTCCATGTGACTAGCTGGCCACAGCACACGTTTTCAACCCTGGCTACACATGGGAGTTGTATGGTGAGATCTTTTTAAATTTCAACACCCAGCATGTACCCCAAATCACAAGGTCTACTCACATACTTAACTTCATAACTACCAACACCCACACAGAACAGTGTTATCCCCATTTTATTGTCCAGGAAACTAAGGCTTAAAGAGCTAAGTGGCTTGCAAGTAAGTGGTGGAGACAGATGCAAACCCAGATCTCCTGAGCCTAAATTCAGTGGTCTCCATGACAGCACAGCTGCTTCTGGAGAACTGGACACCCCACCACCACTCAGTTCCAGGACCTCTTCCAGACCAGTCTTATAAATAACATTCTGCCTGACCGTTGTCTGAGCAGAGGTAGGGCTAGCCAGCCACCTACTCCTCAACAGTGCAAATTGTTCACGAAATAAGCCAGGCACAGCAAGACAAGTACTGGGTGATCTCACTCATACATGGAATCCACAAAAGCTGATCTTATAGACACTGAGAGTAGAAGGTAGTAATCAGAGGCTGGGGAGAGGAGGGCTGGGGAGGGGTGGGGAGGGGTTGATCAGTAGGTACTGGGTTACTGTTAGATAGGAGTAAGAAATTCTGGTGTGCTATGCACAGTGGTGGTGGTGGGTGTTGTTGCTATGAATAAGGTAGAAAGGAGTTTGAATGTTCTTACCATAAAGAAATAATAAATGTTTCAGGAGGCAGATATACTTAACCTTCTTTAAACAATACACAATGTATTCACATAGTAAAATATCACATAAAACCCCATAAATGTGTACAACTTTTATGTTTTTGTTTGTCAATTAAAAAATAAATTTAAACTTAAAAAAAAAAAGGAAAGAAATGGGGTGTTGCCAGGCACCAGTGGCTCACATCTATAATCCCCGCTACTCAGGAGGCAGAGATCAGGAGGATTGTGGTTCAAATCCAGCCCAGCCAAATAGTTCGTGAGACCCTATCTCAAAAAAAACCTTCACAAAAAAGGACTGGTGGAGTAGCTCAAGGTGTAGACCCTGAGTTCAAATTCCAGTACCACAAGAATAAAAATGAAATGGGGTGTGGGTTCAAGAAATTCACTTGAATCTCTGCTCAAGATTACAGAGAAGTAAAGGCTGAAACAGGAATTAGCAGGCTTGCTAAAGTCCATTCAACCCCCAGATGTTTCACTCTTCTTTGTGTTCCCAATGAAGCCAGTAAAAGATATGTTCTTCCATCACTATCTGACCTGTTGGTTGACTTGTCTGGTCCTCCCAACCAGCACCATGACCCCACAAATGAAGTATTACCTGCATCAGTCTCATAGCCATCTCTAGCCATTTTACAACAACACAGAAACAACAAAAGCCTGGACAGTTTGCACATTGTGGTTGGCAGTTCCTTTCTTAACCTTCTTCCATCTGCACAGCTGAAGGAGTAGGTTGTAATGGTGCAGCCTGATTTCAGAGCCCTGGGGTCCTTTGGTGGCTCTTATCTTGGGAATGAGCTCCTGCTCTTCATTTGCACTCTGTGTTGTAGACAACAACACACTTTCTGGTCTAGACATCCTGTAAGCAGAAGAAATCATGTCACTTCAACCAGCATTTCCAAGGACCGGGATGGGTCAACAAGTACTTCCAGGATGACCCAGGAGAAACAAACAGGCCAAATAACTGTATGAGACAGTGTTTGTAAGTCACAAAGTTTGTAAGTCACAAAACACTATGCAAACAGAAGCTTCACAATTTCCACACTGTCTGGTTGGAAGATGCCTCAGAAGCTTACCTTGCAGCTGTATTTCACAGTACATAAGATTGGAAAGGATATCAAAGAAAGGGAGAATGATGAAGATTAAGGGGGAGGATGGAATAAGCTCCTAAAGCAACACTTGCCTCTCCTACTAACTGTTCAAACCTCAGGCATCATGGAGAACACTAACAAATAGCTTAGCAATGAGTTGACTGTTTGCAAATATAATTTTCTTTCTTTCTCACAGAAACCCTATGAATTATACTCTCCCATTTTACAACCTATAAAGAAAAAATTACCTCTCCCCAGAAGTTACATGAAGCAACAGACAGCCTCCAAGACCTGGAAACTTGTGGCCTAATTGTGGCTCTGACACAGAAAGAATAAGCACAAGAATGAACTTCAAAGAGCTGAGAGGGCGGAGTCTGAAGGCAGAGCCCTCAGGCGTCTTGGCCTTCTCCCTGGGCATCCTACCACAGGTATACTTTTATTCAAGTTCTGTCTTGCTCCTGCCACTTCCAGCTGACTCTCCCTGCCTGGGAGGAACACTTCTCACAGCCACACTCTTCCCACTCTTCCATCAAATCACTGCCTGTCCCCTCCCACACTGTCTTCCACCTCTCTTACACAGCTCTCTTAGACAGGCTTAGGGCAAGCTTGTTTTCACCCATTCACAATAAACTCTTAAAATTACCTCTAGCTTGTGGAAGATATAAATTATAGTCATAAACATACCCCCATTACTTGGATTTTCCAAAAAGACATTCTGAATAATTGGGAATAGTTATAGTTCTAGGAAAACAGGCTTATTTGAGCCCTGTTTGGTTTTTGTTTGTTGTTTAGTTTTGTTTGTGGTACTGGGGATCAAACCCAGGGCCTGGAATATGCTAGGCAAGCACTCTACTGCTGAGCTACATCCTCAGCCCTCCTGCTCATTATTCTTTTGATATTGTACAGCTTTAAGCACACAGTGTTTCTTCTACTTTTTTTTAAACATCCTCAGTACTTATACAGAATGTTCTTTTCCCTACGCATGCTCCTGTACCTGGAGTTTCACTTTCAGGCATGGTCCTAGCAAGAGGCAGAGGGCATTTTGAGGGTGATTAGAGAAAGAGACTTTATTAAAGACATGGGCAGAATTGAATTGCATCCTTCAAAAAAAGGTATGTAAGTCCTGACCACCCCCATACCTTAGAATGTGACCTAACTTGGAAATAGGGTAATTGCAGATGTGATTAGCTAAGATGATGTCATCCTGGAGTAGAGTGGGTCCTACTACAATATGACTGGTGATCTTATAAGACAGCCCTATGAAGATAAAGATGAAGACACACGTGGAGAACACCATGTAATGATGAAGGCAGAGAATAGAGTTATACAGCTTGGCTGCAAGCCAAAGAACATGAAAGACTGCCTGCAGACAATTAGAAGCTAGGAAGAAGAGAGGAAGAGTTTCCCTACCTATTCCAGAGGGAGCATGGGAGATGCTGACTGACATCTTGATTTCAGACTTTTAGCTTCCAGAACTAAGACCAAAATTTCTATTGTTTTAAACAACCCAACTGTAGGAAACCAATACATCAGGGTTATGGGAAGCCAAAACGGATGGTGAAACACCCAGGGGCTGGTAACAGAGAAGCCACTACCACTCTAGGGCTGAAGTGCAGCAGGAAGGAGCCTTTACTGAACCCACAGCTATAGGAAAAGAGCTGTAGTCCCCAGCAGAGGAAGGCAGCCTCTGCCAACACCAGCAGGCAGGAAGGAATCTGAGGTAATAACACCCACTTTACTCTGCTCCTTTCCTCCAGACTTGTCACAGTTCCTTTCATTGGCCAAACCAAAGGGAAGCCAGGGAGAATCTGTTAAAATAAACTCAGTCCCAGCTATACTCACTTCCCTGCCTCCTGACCAGAACCTGTCCCCTGTAACATGCTTTTTGATCCTTCTGTTTCTGCCAAACACTTATCACAACTGCAATGGAGGAACTGATTATGCAAATTTTTGAGTGATGATTGGCTCTGTCATTCCTTAGTGGGGCTTGAAGTCAAGGCCTCATGCTTACTAGGCAGATTTTCTATCACTTGAATCAGACCCCCAGCCCTTTTTTTTTTTTTTTTTTAGTTATTTTTCAGGTAGGGTCTCAATTTCTGCCTAGGGCCAACCTTCAACTTCTGTCCTCCTACATATACCTCTGTGTAGCTGGGATCACAGATATGCACCATGTGCACCACCATGCCTGGCTTCTGTGTTGAGATGGGGTCTTGCTAACTTTTTGACTGGGCTGACCTCAAACTGCATAGAAAGAATACCTAGACTTATAGGATGTACCAAGAACTAGACTGTCTGTGATGAAAAGTCAAGTATTAAATCCAGAGAGGTTGCCCTGGGAAACTTTCAAAGAACTATAGAAAGTGAGCACAATTATTGAAGCAAGATTTTTTCTCACTCCTGGTTACTACTGAACCTAACTGGGGGTCACAGAAAATGCAGAAATGACAAAGGAAGGACAGACAGAAAGTTGGGAACAGGTGTGTTGGGCACTCAGCTAGAGACACACAACAGCCTCATTGCTTATTTTCTCTATTATTCTCCTCATTTACTCTGCTTCTTTTCTCTATCTTTATTCTTTAAGGCCTTACTCCTTTTCAGTTCTTTAAAACCTGCTTTTAAAGTCTTCTTTCTATTTTTTAAAACCTCACTTCTAAAGTCTTCTTTTCTGTTCTTTAAAGTCTCTTTCATTCATGGGAAAGAGACGCACTCTGTCCCATGTTTTCTCTTAGCTTTTCTTTAGCTTAGCTTTTCTAAAGCCTATGTATAAAGTTCTTGGTGCAGACTTGTGCCGTCCCATGTTCTTTCTTTAGCTTTCTTAAAATCTCACCCCTCAGACTTGCTAGCAATTCCCCTTTAGCAATTCTCCTTCAGCAATCCTTTTCCCTTCAGCAATCCTCCCTTCAGCCAGCAACTCATTTTCCCCCTTTCAGCAATCTCCCTCCAGGAATTTTCCCCTCAGCCAAAACACCCCCATCAAAAAGGCTCCCACATCCAAAAAACCTTCCCCATCCAAAAAGCCTCACAACCTCCTTCAGTGAGTCTTTTATACCCAGTGGTAAACAAGGACGTGGAGCAGCAGTTCTCGGGGAGGGGCATGACATTGTAACAAGAGGAACCTGCATTCCTCCTTCTCTGAAAATAAACAGTTTAGGAAAAGCAGCTGAGCTGCATCTTGCCTTCTTACTCTCTTCTGCAGCTGGAGCTGTGCCAAATCTCAGCCTGCAGAGTATTGAGTACAACTGTGCTTATGTCCTATAGGCTTCTCATACTCCACTCCCTATGTCCTTCAGGTGAGCACTAATGGCACAATTTGTAATACCAAATAATGTGACCACTTTCAGTACTTCCTTACCATCCTCCAGGAATGGTGAAGAGAAACAGAGGTTCATGGAAAGAGAAACTACCATGGGGTCAAGCAAACTTGAGCTGCTTCCACCTGAATTTCCTCAGGACAGTCTGGCCCCAGTCACACAAGGGAAGTCAAGAAAGTTGAGATGGGTCATTCCTCCACTGGCATGGGAATTTAGATCCTGGATCCACCCCAGACATTGCATTACACCATTGCTCTTGCCTTTTTGCTTATCAAGTGACCCTCTTCCAAGCCACCTCTGTATTCTCTAGTTCCATTTATAATTTACCTGACCAAAATTTCAAAGATTATTGGTCTTCCAGGTTGTAGATCCAAAGAATTCAAACATCCCTCTTTTAAAGTTCATGTAACAGGAAGGTAAAACAGGTCCTGTCTTGGGGGTTGGACCAGTGGGAGGGGAAGGATATGGGGAAAGGGTGTAAGAGAGCGAATATGGTGGAAAAATTATGAATGGAAAAGTGAGACCTGTTGTAACTATTCCAGGAATGGGAGAGGCGGACAAAGGAGAATGATGGAGGGGTGAATTCAACTATGATATATTGTAAGAACTTTTGTAAATGTCACAATGTACCCCCAGTAAAATAATAATATGATAATAAGAAGATAAGAATAAAGCTCATGTAAATTTAGGTTGTCAAAAACTAGGTAGTTTCTAAGCATTTTGGTGTTTTGTTTTGTTATAATATTTTGCTTATGTAATTCAGCATAAGTAACACTTCAGAAAAAAGGGAGGAGGGGGAATAAAGGAGAATGATGGAAGGGGTGAATTCAACTATGATACATTATAAGAACTTTTGTAAATGTCACATTTTATCCCTGATACAATAAGAATATGATAATAATAAAAAGAAAAAATAATTTTTTTAAAAAGAAAGAAAACAAGATGAGCTCAATAAAGATCAGGAAACTGGCTCAAATTTGGAGATGATGCTTCATTACACTCCTCGTTTGCACTTGGGTAAATCACCCTTAACCAACTTTGCCTAGAGGGAGTTAGCAGTAAACACAGCAATCATTACAACAGCCTCAGAGTCTGTGCACATAGTATCGATCTCCTCCTTTGATGTTCTTTTGATAACAGCTGTAAATGTCAATAATTCTTCTTCTTGGTACTAACAGTTAACATCAAAACAGAACATCCAACATGTATATCTAATTTGAAAATAAAGCACAACATCAAGTTTAACTTCTAAGGTAGGAAGTAGAAACCTTCCTATCAATCAAATAAACTGACTCATTCTCCTGTCACTTGGCCCTTCCTACTGGATCACATTGTCAACCTTGAAGATGGCATTGTCAAAACAGAGGACAGGAAGGTAAAACAGGTCCTGTCTGGAGGATGGTACCAGTGAGAGAGGGGAGGACGTAAGGAAAGGGTGTAGGAGGGTGAATATGGTG